CTCCAGGGTCCCCACGGCACCCTGGGCTTGTGTAGTTCTCCTGCAGTGCTTCGCTCGTGTGCCATCACCTTCCCCCAGGGCTTGGAGCTTCCCACAAACAGGAAGCAGGTCCCCCACCTCTCCCTCCTGAGCGCACAGCACACAGCAGGCACTCAGAAACAATCCAGTGAATAAAGATCAAAGCTACCCTGGCCCAGCCGGCGTGGCTCGATGGTCGAGTGTTGAACTGTGAACTAGGAGATCAGTTTGATTCCCGGTCAAGGCACATGGCCGGGTGGCAGGCTAGATCCCCAGTGTGGGGCGTGTAGGAGGCAGCCAATAAATAATCCTCTACCATCACTGATATTTCTCTCTCCCCACTTCTCCCTTCCTCTCTGAAATCAATAAATATATATATATTTTTAGAGCTACCCTGGATTCCCTTACTTTTTCTGAAATAAAATTCATCCTAGACGTTTGCTAAATCTAGATCTCCCCCACCCCAACAGAGCAAACCTGCAAGCCCAAAAGCTTGCAGTCAGATGACCTGGGTCATGTCTGTGTGAACTTTGGCCAATTATCTTACCTCCCTGGGCGTCAATGTCTCTTTCTATAAAATGAAAATTAGAAGCCTTACTTCATTTAAAAAAAAAAAATCACCTAACAAACCATCTGGCAGAGGTGCAACACAATGCATTTACTTTCCTTTGCACATATGCCCATTGTGGAAGTCAGCAAGCAGCTATGCAGCACGAACTGTGTGTCAGACTCTGGGGTAGACACCGAGTGGTCACAATGGCAGCTCTGACCCTAGATTTCATATTAATAGAAACCTTTTCTGAGAAAACTCATCTGTGAATTCGGAAGTAAACCCTATTCACAAGTGTGCCAAACAGGCAGGAAGTCCACTAGCAGGAAGGTCACCCTGAGCCACGCTACTTCTCCTGGAGTGTCCCCCGAGGTCACACAAGGCCTAGCAGAATCACTGGGTCTTTACTGCCACCTGCTGGAGGGACAGAATAAGGCCACAGGCAGCAGCCAGAAATTCAGATGCCTACCGGGAGTTGCCAAACATATGGCCCTAACTTATATCTGCCACTTTTATTCAAAAGCTAACGAGAAGCTGCCAGGGGAAATTGCTGTTGAAATCAAAATCACCTCACCGGGGAAAAAAGGAAATCCAACAGCACCTTGTAAAGGTCAGAAAGTGGGAGCAGGCCTCCGGGGGAAGTCAGCTCCAAGGGGAGGCGTAGACAACGCGGCATGCTGGAGAGAAAGATCGCCTTCGGAAACCACGGCTGCGTTTCGCCCCCCAGCACATCATCGAGCACCAATCCTGCTGGAGTTCTCCAAACCTTGGTGCCCGGGAACCCCACTGAACCGCCCCCCTGCCCACAAACACCTGCAGAATCTCGCTCAGCCCCTCAGGCCCGCCACAGAAACTGCTGGAAGCAGGGAGCCCATTCTTTCCAAAGGCCTTGGCTTCGCAGCCAGACTCGCTAAGTCAACAAAGCAGGAGCCAGCCCCACCGCTTGCCTTCCTTCCTGTTACACCCTCCAGCTTCTTCTCCCTGGCCTGCCACACTCAGACACGTGTTCTCTCTCTCTCTCTCTCTCTCTCTCTCTCTCTCTCTCTCTCTCTCTCTCTCTCTCTCTCTCCCTCCCTCCCTCCCTCCCTCCCTCTCTCCCTCTCTCCCTCTCTCTCCCTCTCTCACTCACACACACACACACACACACACACACACACACCTCTAGCATCCTCACTCATTTGGGTGGGGAGTCTGTTCTGGGAGAACTGGGAAGCAGGACCCAGCCGGGCCACAGCCGGGGTTGGGGTTTGTTTGCTTCTGTCTTTGCCCTCTTCTCCGTGTCCCAACCACTCTGCGAGAAGCTGGGCCCCAGAAAGCAACCTCTGGGAGGCCGAGGGCAGCCGCGCCCAGACATTTCCTTCGCCAGCGAGGGTGAGTGTGCTTCCGGCGCTGGAAAATGGGCTCCGTGGCCACGGCGTCATGGGGCCGGGCCGAGTCCAGCCACTTGCTCCTGGACAAGAAGGCTGAGCGGTCTCCGCAGCCCCCACACTCCACCCGCCCGGCCACGCCAGCGTCCGAGAGCACCGTCTGAGCAAGTGCCGGGGGTCTCACGACGACCGCTCTCCCCACCATCAACAGCACCAAGCTCATTTGGGGGCGGGAGGATAAAAAGGTTTGTTTCCCCCACCATTCCCCAAAGGGAAGAAAGTCCTGACAGACGTGCTAGAAACACGCTACAGCCATCAAAAACACACAAAACTGACTACATGAACTTGGAAGGGCAATTCTGCCACAGAACAAAAATTGCAAGTTTTTTGTCCAGATAGGAAAGAAAAAGGAAAAAAAAAATCAGCATTCCGGTATTAATCAGCCCCTGATGACACTTAAAATACACCATCGTCACCCAGCTGAGCTGTCCCCGCCCCCCAGCAGGGACTGGTTCCCATCCTTGCTTGTTAACTGCGCATCTTTTATCTTAGAGGTCAAGAAACAGAAGTGTTTCTCTCACCATCCTCATTTCTTTTTTTTTTCTTTTTTCTTTTTTTAATATATTTTATTGATTTTTTACAGAGAGGAAGAGAGATAGAGAGCTAGAAACATCGATGGGAGAGAAACATCGACCAGCTGCCTCTTGCACACCCCCTACCAGGGATATGCCGACCGGAATCGAACCCGGGACCCTTCAGTCCACAGACCAACGCTCTACCACTGAGCCAAACCAGTTTCGGTATGACCATCCTCATTTCTGACCCCATGCTTCCACCCGGGCCTCCTGGGTTCTCCTCACTCTCGCATGCAGTGCCAAGGCAAATGGGGTGGACATCAGGTCATCCAATGTCCAGCTTCAGGGGTCCACCCTTTCCCACGGCCTCTCTGGATCTGCCAGGCTCTCTGCAGGCTCAAGGCTTGGGCATCTTTCACAAGATGGTCCTGACTGCCTAGAAGCTCCAACTTCTATCACACTGAGGACTCAACTCCCCAGGGAAACACCAGGAAGCAGGCAGGGTTCATACTGGTTCTGCTCTTAGCATCCCCAGATGTCTCTCTTCTTCAAATCTTTCTTCTCCCACTGGGTTTTGTTTGTATGTTTGTTTGGGGAGTTGGTCTGGGGAACTTTCTTTCCCTCCAGATGTCTTCAAGACATATAATCTGTTGGCATAAAACCCACTGCTGCTTCTTTATTTTAAAAAATATACACTGAGTGGCCATATTATTATGATCTCTCAACACATAATAATCTGGCCACTCAGTATATATGTGTGTGTGTGTGTGTGTGTGTGTGTGTGTGTGTGTGTGTATGGCTTAGAGGCCCAGTACGTGACTTCATACATGGGTATATCCGGCCAGCCTGGCCAGAGGAGGGGACATGGGTGGTTGGCTGGCCTGCCTTTTAGTCAAACTCCTGGTTGAGGGGACAATTTGCATATTAGCCTTTAATTATATAGGATATACACTGAGTGGCCATATTATGCATTCAGAAATCATGATAATCTGGCCATTCAGTGTATATACACTAGTAGCCCTGCACACGAATCTGTGCACCAGTAGCTCACTAGTAGCTCTCTGCTGTCCTCCAGTAGCTCCCTCTGGCCCTCCCCTGCCCCTTCCCTCATACCTTGCTGCCATACCCCCTCCTGTACTCTCCGCTGCCCGCTTATAGTTCATTGTCCCACCCTCAAGGGGTCCCAGATTCGAGAGGGTGCGGGTTGGGCTGGGTGCATCAATTTCGTGCACCGGGCCTCTAGTATAGGGTATTTTTTAAACAAAAGCTAGAAAAACTTCTTGACTGTTTTCGGCCCTGTCGCATGCCTCCACACTGGATAAACACATTTTCACTCTTTTACAGTCACCCCAGATTTTTGCTGTGGTCTGTTGTGACCTCCTGGTTCATAGGTCAATGCTCAACCACTGAGCCACATAGGCCAGGCTACACATACACACTAGTTCTTAGAGAACAATTCACTTGGTCATTTTCAGATTAAAGCATGGTTGCAAAGCTCACTGCTTCTAGACGTTTCTCCCTGTTGTATTCCTACACAATTTTCAAAAATAATAAGTGAATAGAAAAGGGATCCTAAATAAATCCCAGTTGGATGTAACAGAGACTTCTTAAAGGTTCTTCAAATACTTCATTCATCACTGGCCTGGGATGTTCAACCGAAAATACAAGGATGTGCAAAAGTAGGTTTACAGTTCTTCGTAAAAATATATAATTAATAATTCAAGAATAAACTCTGTGGCCCTAATCGGTTTGATTCAGTGGATAGAGCATCGGGTCCCAGATTCGATTCCGGTCAGGGCCATGTACCTTGGTTGTGGGCACATCCCTAGTAGGGAGTGTGAGGAAGGCAGCTGAATTGATGTCTCTCTCTCATTGATGTTTCTAACTCTCTATCCTTTTCCCTTCCTCTGTGTAAAAAAAAAAAAAAAAAAAAAATCAATAAAATACTGTATATTATAAAAAAAAGAATAAACTCTGTGTTTTGAGCACTCACCACTGTAAACCTATTTTTGCTCACCCGTACAGCCAGGCAAACAGTGTACCGTTACTGATTAATTTGTGCCAGCATTCACTGAACAATGTCAGGCAGGGCTCCATCCATGCCATGAAACAGGGATGCTCAGGGGTAAGACGTGGCCCCACATGCAGAGCTCTTGCCCTAGAGTAGGGGTGTCGAACTCAATCAGAGAAGGGGCCAAAATCTAAAATCCAGCCTAAATCGCGGGCCGAATGGTTTACTGAACAGTCATAAACTGTCATTGTGATGGAAACGCAGCGGAGTGCAGTGATGACAGCGCGGTGCGGGCCACATTGCAAGGCCTGGCGGGACGGATTTGGCCCGAGGGCCTTGTGTTTGACACATGTGCCCTAGAGGAAGAGGAAGACTTAAACCGTGGCAGCAGCAGAGTGGGAAGGCGGATGGGATGCCTGTCAGAGCGCAGGGCAGAGGAGGCAGAGGAGGCAGCTCAACGGCTGACTAACATTTTGCTCTTAAATACCTTATTGCAAAATCCGTATTATAGTAACAAAAATATAAAAGCAAACTGCCTCCAACACCACCATGTAACCAAATTGTTTCATCTGTCCATATCTGCACCATTATCAGAGTTGTACAATCTGTATTTTCATTTATCATGTCATGAATATTTTTCCATTTCACTGCTTTTCCTTACTCCTCCAACCTTAACCCCTTCAGATAACCAATGTTCACAGTCTGGGGAGTTATTTTTCTGTATCTTTTTCTATGCTTGACTAACCCTATTTGGGACACTATTTATCAAAATCAGAACAATCGATTAACCTCCCCCACCACCACCACCTTTTCTTGTTCTCATGACATACTCAATGTTCAGCCATAAAAGCCCTTGTTTTTTTTATTATTTTATTAAATTTTTAAATCTTCACCCAAGGATATGTTTCCATTGATTCTTGGGGGGGGGGGCGGGGGGAGGGAATATTGATCAATTTCCTCTCGCATACGCCATGACAGATCGAACGCACAACCTAGGCATGTGCCTTGACCAGGAATCGAACCACTACCTTTTGGTGTACAGGACGACACTCCAACCCACTGAGCAACCCAGTCAGAGCTACTTTTATTTTTAACTCTTAAGAGAATAGTTTCCTAGGTCCTTGATCCAATAGACCCCACTTCCCTCCCACCTGCTTTGCTGAAAATAACTGGGAAGAGAGACCACAAAGATTCACTTCTAAAAAGCAAGACGGAGTTTAGATCCTCATTTGCTCTGCGGATCGGCAGCAGCAAGCAGCTCGTGCCCATTCTCTGCCATCACTCATGCTTGGGCGCTTTTCAGACCACTTTCTCCCCGCCCTCCTCCCCTCACCTGGGACTCCCGCTTTTTTACTGTTCCAGCTCACACATGGGCCAAAGGAACCCAACAGGACCACCGCCTTTCCGCTCAGCAATCCCACCACCAGTTTCTCAAGGTCACCTGGTCACACCAGACACCCTCCTGGTCACGCCCGTCCGGCCAGCTCGGCACTGGGAGGAGAGAGCAGTGGGGACAGGGCCTGCAACGGTCCCTTCAGCAAGGACAGGGGGGGACCCCCGTCTCCCTAGGACGGCCTGGGCCTGAGGCCCCTCAGTCAAAACCACGGCCTTTCCTCGGGTCCCACTTGGTCCGCTCTTGGTGGCGCCTCTGAAAAAAGCGGATGAAATGACTGTATGTGCCTTTGACTGCGGTGGAGTTGACTCAGACTTCAGATCTGAAACTTGTTCTTGATTCAGCTTCTGTCGGAAGGCGGGGAGGTGAGAAGCAATGCCTCAGCCTGCCAAAAGGCCAATGTGGCTGGGTCCGATGCACCGCGGACCGGCCCAGGCCCCGCCTCTGGGCTCTCACACACACAGGACCAACCCCGAGCACAGGCTTCCCGTCACCTGGGTCAGTCCCAGCGCTGCCGGCTCCTGCTGTGTGATAATGACAAGGTCGACGTTTTGAGTCTTTTCTTCATCTCTAAAGTGAGGTGAATTTTTTCTTTTTAAACGGTGACTTGGTTAAGTAATTGTAAGCATTGAAACACATGGAAAACCATTTTTAAATCCTTTCAGGCCAACTGAGGGTTATACAATTGCTGGTTTAGTCTGCCATTTAACTTTCCAGCCTTCAGAAAGTCCTTCTTGACTAAGCAAATGGTCCACTTCCCATCGGCAGGAAAAGAAATCAGCCACAGTCGCCAACGTTTGTGCCAGATCTGCAGAAGCAGAACGGGGAGAGTATTTTCTGTCCCGGAGTAGTTTCAAGGCTCCAGGCACTCCCATCCTTACATGTAAGCCAGGGGCTTCGCATGAAGGAATACAACGTTTCTCACAAGTCTCTAATTAAATGGGGGGTTGCGAGGGACGAAAAATAGACAAAAAGCACATCGATTTTTTTTCTACCTTTATTTATAAAGAACACAACTCTTCCTCCTAACGCAGAAACACACACACACACACACACATCTAAAGAGGTGACACACTCGTGAACAACAACAGCAACAGCAGAAGCAGAAGCAGGGGACAGTGGGACCTCTTTGGACACCAGTCTGTGTGCCTGGCCCAGGCAGCAAGGGGAATGTTTCCTCAGAGAGGACCTCTCACCTCAGAGAGCAGACAGACTTCATCTTCAAGACCCATGTACCTGGCAGGCAAAAAGCCGCGCCCTCAGTCTTCGGCGTCATCGAACTGTCCCGTTTCAAAGACCATCTTGGAATAATGGGGTATCAGCGGAGGCGGATGGTGCCAGCTGGGGTCATAGACCATCTCTCCTTGCGGGGCACAGCACACCCACGGTTTGGCCTCCTGAGGAATGCAGCCCTGGATGTCATCAGCATCTGCAGGCGGTTTTAAAAGACAGAATAACACAGAGGTTCCCAGCCTTGTTCTGGCCACGCCCCACCTCAGCATCTCTAAAATCCTGATGCCCATCCCCTCCCCCCCTACCCCCGTGACACATAATTCTTATTATTCAAAAAGTGAACGCCTGCCAAGACCGGTTTGGCTCAGTGGATAGAGCACCGGCCTGCAGGCTGAAAGGTCCCGGGTTCGATTCTGGTCAAGGGCATGCACATTGGTTGCGGGCACATCCCCAGTGGGGGGTGTGCAGGAGGCAGCTGGTTGATAATTCTCTCTCATCGATGTTTCTAACTCTGTCCCTCTCTCTTCCTCTCTGTAAAAAAATCAATAAAATATATTAAAAAAAAAAAAAAATGAACGCCTATTCACGTGGAGGAGGCCTAAAAGGCCATTAACTTGGTCTAAAAAAGCTTCCCAAGAACATGGCATCATGAAAGAGAAAAATAAAAGGACAAAAGGACAGTTGAAGTATTGAGGAAGAAATCATTAAGAAATTGTTAAAAAAAATAATAATATATATATATATAATAATATGAAGTGATATAAAAAAGCATAGTTTCAAAAAACTGAAATGCATAAATATGTCAAAATATCTATTTATATACTGTATATGAAGCCCCTAGAACCCTAAGAAATGCAAAAAATTCATTGTTAATAACTCATTCTCCAATTGTCCCCCTTAAAAATCAAACTGCTCCCCTGTGGGGCCTGTGCCCCACGTTGGGAACCTCTGGATTAAAGGAAGAGAAGGGAAAAACGAATAGCCAAAAAATGTCTAGGAGGACAATAGTTGCACTCTGTTTAAACACACACACACACACACACACACACACACACACACACAGAGTCCTCCTTTCCTGAAGAATTGCAAGCATGTTCTTTCTGAGGCATCATAGTGGTGCTGTTCAGCCAAGAGTTCTTGGCAGTGCAGAGGGAGCAAACGGATAATAAGGCACTTGTGTCTGCAGCTGCTCAGCTCAGACTAAGATATGTGGAGAGAGTAACACTGTTTCGATGTTAAAGCTAAAAGACACATTATAGAGTCAAATGTAAAATTTGCACGTTTTGTTTTGTTTTTCAATATGAAAAAGCTGTCACAGAAACCGCAGGTCTATAACAGGTTATCAGGCTAAGCTCACAGAATTCCAAACTCTGCCTGCCTTTAAGGGTCATCTGGTAGGAGAGTCTCAAACCCTGCCTAGGACCCCAGACACTCCACACCTACCATACGGATTCCCTTCATCCGCTTTCAACTCCAAGTCCCAGTCCTCATTAAGAAGGTCGGCAGCCTGCTCCCTGGGCAGATGGCTGGACACCCCTCCTGACGGCTCCCAGGTATTCGGTTCCCCGTCAGAGTCTTCATCGTCCATAGCAAAGCCTTCCTCTTCCGAATGGACGCCCTCATTGCTGGCTGGACCACCATTAGCGATGCTCTGTGCTCCACGGGCTAAGAAATCCACAAGAGGAAGAAGGTCTTAAAACAACCGGCAAACCATGGGGCCTACTGGTGTGCTTGGCAATGTCTGGCAGACTTACTAGGAGGGCAGCAGTAAAACAGTGTACAGAGTTCTTTAGCCACCTGAGCACTTTAAAAAAAAAAAGAAAGAAAGAAAGAAAACGTTTTGTTGACATTTTTAGAAGGGCTGATCAATTATTTCCAATAGGATGCTTTGCCTTAAACCAGTCCATTCACTGCCCGGTCTGCCACTTCACACAGGGAGCGGGGCACAGCTTACAGTGTAAGTAACTTACATGTCATTAACGCAAATGATCGCCTGTCACAGTACAGGTGGGAACTGAGTTTTTGCTTTTATTCCTCTTCCCTTCATCCTCAAAGAGCATGTCAGAGGGGAGCACAGGACAAGGGGAAGGGGAGTAAAAGCGGACAGCAGGGCGGAACCCATCTAGTCACAATGGACGCCACCACGTCCTCCTCCCAACACAGAGAGGGCTGGAAGGGACGTTTTCAAACGGTCTCAAATCACGGAGGACCGTGTGGGAAGGATAACGAACCGCCACGCATATAGGGCTACGGTGAGGCCAGGTCAGAGCTAGCAAACGAATGAGCCCATTAACACTGCATCATAACGACAGCTATAAGCAATGGAGTCTTACTTCAGGTTATCGGCTCGGAAGCTAAACTGCCTGAGTCCAAATCCCAGTTCTGCCCATTACTAAGTGTGTTACCGAGCTGAAATGTCCTCAACTGATTCCCTCGATAGCTTAAATATAGAATTAACATATAACCCACGCCTAAATGTTTATCCAAGAGAATTAAAAACAGGTGTGCAGCCGAAACCGGTTTGGCTCAGTGGATAGAGCGTGGGTCTGCGGACTGAAAGGTCCCGGGTTCGATTCCGGTCAAGGGCATGTACCTTGGTTTCGGGCACATCCCCAGTAGGGGGTGTGCAAGAGGCAGCTGATCAATGATTCTCTCTCATCGGTGTTTCTAACTCTATCCCTCTCTCTTCTTCTCTGTAAAAAATCAATAAAATATATTTTAAAAACAGGTGTGCAAACAAAACTCGTACAAAAACGTTCACAGCAGGACTATTACAGTCACCAAAAGGTGGGAGCCACTCAAATGCCTATCAACTGGTGAATGGGTCAGCAACATTGGGTTTATATGCACGATGGGACTTATTCAGCCATCCAAACGAATGAAGCACAGGCAGACTTCCATTTTATGCAGTTTGCTTTACTGCACTTCACAGATGTGGTGTGGTTTTTTTATATATAAATTGAAGGCAAAACCCTCTATCAGCAAAAAGATTACAACTAACTTTATTTCAATAGTAGCTTTACTGCAGTGGTCTGGAACTAAACCCATAACGTCTCCGAGGTATGCCTTACAAGGTATACAGGCTACATGAATTAATCGTGAAAGTATTATGCTGAAAGAAGCCAGACAGAAAAGGCCACATAGTGTATGATTCATTTGCATGCAACTCACATTTGCCTGTTCAGCAGAGGTCAATCCATAGACAGAAAGCAGATAAGTGGTCGCCAGGGGCACAAGGAAGGGGTGAATGGGGAGTGACTCCTTCCTGGGTACAAGATTTCCCTTTGGGGTGATGAAAATGTTTGGAACTAAATAGCAATGGTGACTACAAAGCACTGTGGCTGTGCCGAATGCCACCGAACCGCATGCTTCAAATGTGTTAAATGGTAAATCTTATGTTGTGTCTTTTAACAGAACCAATTTTTTTTTTACTCTGTGCCTCAGTTTCCTCACCTGCAAAATGGGGATATGATTGTTATGAGAGTTTTTAAAAACAAAAAAAGAGCTCAGCCTGCATGGCTCAGTGGTTGAGCGTTGACCTACAAACCAGGAGATTGAGGTTCAATTCCTGGTCAGAGTGCATGCCTGGATTGCGGGCTTGATCCCAAATGGGGGGGAAAAGGGGGGCGCGCGCAGGAGGCAGCCATCAATGATTCTCTCTCATCATTGGTATTCTATCTTTCTCCCTCTCCCTTTGTCTCTAAAACCAGTAAAAGTATGTTAAAAGTGGAAATGATTTTACCTCCAAAGCCTATATTCTTCCTGCTCTCCTACGCTGTCTTTCTCAGTAGAAGGGGCGGGTTTGGACACAAGGTCAGGACTTCCCTTAAGGAAGCTCCAGTGGGACTTCCAAACAAGGGCACGCCGAAAAGGCAGCGTGGCAGCCAAGGAGGAGAAGGTAAAGAAGACAGGGGAGCTGCCCCTCCTGTCGCTCCCCCCGTCTCTCCCAACATCCATTCCCGTCTCTGCCGTCCACTTGCCTAGTCGATCGGTGGCTTTCTCAGTTTCTTTCTCCTGGCCGGAGTGGTCATGTGGGGCAAAGCCAGCCTGCCGGAAGAAGAAACAATTACTCAGTGCTTGGACATCTGGGGCATCCCCAGTACTAAGTCCTTATCTCTCAGCTGAAAACCCACCCATCCATCCTCCCCTTTGTGTGGGGGGCTGAGACTCTGCTCTGCCCTGACTCAGCGAGGACGGAGGGGGAAGAGCGTTGTCCTTCTTCCTCCTGAGCCATCCTTCCAGCGACACTTCCCCCTGGAAGGAGGAGCAAGCTTTCTGCAGCGGCCTGTGAACTACTGCTTGCCAACGCTTGCAAAGCCAGCCTGCATCACCCTGTCCCACCCACAGAGGTCTGACTCCCAGGCTCTAAGCACCCTCCTCCGATCTCAGAGGCCCAGCACCAACTGGGACAGCGCCCCCTCCGCAGAGGCTCTGCAAAGCCCCTCCTCTGAGCTTGTCCATTTTAACCATTCCAGCCTCATCCCTTTCTCCCTCAGCCGGAGGGCTGGTAGCCGTTTCCTGCAGGTGCCACCACCATGTTCATTTTTAACTTTTCAGTTACTTAACAACTTCTTATCTAGTTAACTCCACATATATTGACTTCAGAGAGGAAGGGAGAGGGAGAGAGACAGAAACATCGATGATGAGAGAGAATCATTGATCAGTTGCCTCGTACACGCCCTCTACTGGGGATGGAGCCCACAACCCAGGTATGTGCCCTGACCGGGAATCGAACCTAGACCTCCTGGTTCATAGGTCAACACTCAACTACGGAGCCACATAGGCCGGGTAGCTAACAGCTTTTTCTATCCAATGCTGTCTCCTGACTGATACAAGGGTGCAAGAGAGATTTAGCTCCTCAGCAATGATGAGGGAACTCTTTCCCCACAGCCAACCATATGCCTCTCTGTTCTCACCGCTCAAAAGTTCCTGAAGTCTTGCCCTGGCCAGTTGCTGTTGGTTGGAGCATCACAGGTTGTGGGGTCACCCGGCGGGTGTGGCTCAGTGGCTGAGCTTCAACTTCTAAGCCAGGAGGTCACAATTCAATTCCTGGTTGCAGGCTTGATCCCCAGTAGAGGGTATGCAGTAAGAAACAGATCATGATTCTCTCTCATCATTGATGTTTCTCTCTCTCTCCCCCTCTCCCTGAAATCAATAAAAACATTTTAAACAAATCAATCGGGTTTGATTCCCAATCAGGGCACATACCTATGTTGTAGGTTCAGTCCCAGGTTGGGGCATACCAGAGGCAATGGGTCAGTTTCTCTCTCACATCAACGTTTCTTCTTTCTTTCTCCCCCTCCCCACCTTCCTCTTTCTCTAAAATCAACAAAAACATCCTCGGGTGAGGATTTTTAAAAAGTTCATAAAGTCCTATCACCTCTAAAACCTCTAACTGGAACAAGAAATGTTAAGCCTGCCGAAAGCGGTTTGGCTCAGTGGATAGAGCGTCGGCCTGCGGACCGAAAAGTCCCGGTTCAATTCTGGTCAAGGGCATGTACGTTGGTTGCAGGCACATCCCCAGTGGGGGGGGAGAGGGGTGCAAGAGGCAGCTGGTCTATGTTTCTTTCTCATCGACATTTCTAACTCTCTATCCCTCTCAATTCCTCTCTGTGTAAAATCAATAAAATATATATATATTTTTAAATGTGAAGCCTGCTTAAGACCTAATTTCAATCCCAGGTCTGCCATTCATTCCATATGTGACCCTGAAACACATCATTTCAACCACTCCGCCTGGGGTTCCTTCTCTGGAAATTGAGGGTGACTCTTCTGACCTTACAGAGGACTTAGAATGGCCTAACACCTATGAAGATACCTAGCATGTAGCAGGGATGTACCACTTGTTGATTCTAAGCCCAAACTTCTTTGCCCCTACTGCACTTGGCACCTGCCCCAGCCAGCTCACCATCTAGTCACACCTGGATTTAAAGCATTAGTCCCACCTCCTGCAGTCAGTGACAACCCTTGGTCACTAGTAGTGTGGGCCAGCTGGTGGGACCTCTCACTTCGAGCACTGCCATACTCCATAGCTGCCTCCCCATTCATCCACCCCGCCCACCTTACATTCACCACTACTCTCGCAAAAGTCTTCAACTCGCCCTCCCCAGTTTGGCTCAGTGTATAGAGCATCAGCCTGAAGATGGAATGATCCTGGGTTCGATTCCAGTCCAGGGCACGTTCCTCAGTTGCAGGCTCCTTCCTTGGCTGAACTCTGGTCATGGCTCGTGCAGGAGGCAATCAATCAATGTGTTTCTCTCACATCGACATTTCTCTCCCTCGTTCCCTCTCTCTTCCACTCTCTAAATCTAAAGTAATCAAATAACCTCGGGTAAGGATTAAAAAAAAGAATCTTCAGCTCCACCAGGGAAGCATCACATCAGCCACGGCATTCCCAACTCGCCATCAGCCCCTCAATCTGTGGAGCACAGTTCTCCCCCAGCTCTGCCACCCACAGCTCTGCCACCCACGCCCACAGGGGTTTGCCCCGCATGTCCGCAACCCCACCCCTCTGCAGGCAGCGCCACCCTCACCGTGGAGGGGAAGTGCGCAGCCCTCCTGCTAAGCCCTCACAAAATTAACCTCACCCCATCTGCACTCCTACGTCATTTTCTTTGTAAGTCTTATCACTACATTTGTCCTACTTTGGTTAGTACTATCTTTCATGCTTAAACGCCATGGCCATTCCTCCAACCAATCAATCAGTGTGTCTACTGGGCAGGGCACCCTGCTAGACGCCAGGTTCAACAGCAGTTACCGTAACTGGTTTCTATCCGCCAGGAGTTGACCATCTCGCAGAGATTCCTGACTGCAAACAAGGGCAGGTTATGGCTGTAATAACGGCCTTTGAAAAACCAGGAGCTGCCTGGCGCGCCAATGAAAACAAGTTTCTGGAAACCCTGCGTCAAGCCAGGCCTCTGCGTTTCGCTGAACAGGAGCGCGCGCGCATGAGGCATCCCCCGGCTGCTGTGTTCGCTGAGCATCCCCACCAGCGGACGCAGGTCCTTCGGGAAAAGTCTCTACCCCTCGCCACCCTGCCCACGCCCCGTCCTGGCCCCGCCGCCCTCCCCTGGCTCCCGTGCAGGCCCTCCAGCTCTCGGCCATCAGCATCGCTTCCCATTTCGCCAGGACGCGGGAGCGCCCAGGGGAGCGCCCAGGAGGCCGAGGCCTGCCTCCCCGCCCCGCGCGCCCCACACGCACTCGGGGTGCCTCCAGCCCCGCACCCCGCGCGGCCCGGCCGCCCGGCCGTTTCCAGCCCGAGCGCGCGCTCAACGTCCGCGCGGCGGCCCGAGGCGCTTCCCCGCCCCGCGGCCCCGCGGCCCCGCAGCTCCCCGACCCGGGCGCAGAGCTCACCTCGGGGCTGGGGGGCGACTCCCGCGCGCTCGCCATGGGCAGGCCCCGAGGCGGCTCCGCGGCCCCCAGCGCCAGGGCCCGGGCGGTCTGAGGGTCCATGCCCGGCGGCCCCGGCTCCGCGCCCTGGACGCCGCGCGGCCACGTGACGCGCTGGCCCGGCTGCGGCCCGAGGATCCGGGCGGAGGTCCAATCAGCCGGGCGCTCCCGGCCGAGGGGGCGGGGCACGGGGTCACGAGGGACCCGGGGGCGGCGCGAGAGGGGAGGGGAGGGGAGGGGAAGGAATGGGAGGGGCGGGGCGCTCCCAGCAGCGAAAGCCCATCTACCCGCCCCAAGTCTGATTTTTGAAACTGGAAGTCCCAGCACTGAGTCTGGAATGCCAAGGGTCATCCCTACCCAGCTTCAAACCCTCCAATCCCTGCCGCCGAGTCCACTCTAACTGTAGCTCCGACCACATTTCACTTTTGATCTTACAGATTTCTCTAGAATTCAGTCTGGATTTTGGACCATCACTCGCCCACAAATGGGTGAGACCACTGAGCAGCCCTGTGGTGAGGCTCCCTCCACCTTGAGTTAATGATAAAGTTAGTCCATTAGAAACCGGGACAAATGATAAAAACAAATTGGACACAACCAATGGGCTATGGCGGTCAGAGTAACCCTAACCATTCTGGGCTGACCCTAGTCTAACCTGGGAAAAGCTCCTTTTTCAATGCTCTGGCCTGGCCCTGTACATCCTGAAGGCTGCAGGAGATGGCAAGCACAGCCTTCATGCGTTTCCCCAGCCACAAGGCCTAACCTGGCTCAAGGCGGGATAATCGCATTAACATTTAGGTAGCAGAAAAGCTATAAATTGGGATTCCTTTCTTACCAGGACACCTACTACAATCTTTGAGAAATCAGAGAGCCGATTCCCTCATCTTCTTCTAAGTAGGTACTGTTTGTAAACTACATAAGACATTTGAAAAAATTAGTGTATCAGCTGATATATTTTTCTTTCCCACAGGAAAGAGAATGTGATGGATTAATATGTGTTCTGTTCTGACCCATGAGTCAGTTTCCTCAAATCTAACTGGATTTATATACCACAACTCTATCCCAAAGAACCTGCTGTGATGGTGGGAAGAAAAAAATTCTATTATCCGTGCTCCAATATGGTAAACATATGGCTATTAAGCACTTGAAATGTTGCCAGTGTAAATGAGAAATTGAATTAAATTTAATAAATTTAAAGTGCCATATGGAGCTAGAAACTACCATATCTAACAAGTGAACTAGCTGCCGGGACCAGTTTGGCTCAATGGATAGAGCGTCGGCTTGGGGACTGAAGGGTCCCGGGTTCAATTCCGGTCAAGGGCATGTACCTTGGTTGCGGGCATATCCCCAGTACGGGGTGTGCAAGAGGCAGCTGATCGATGACTCTCTCTCATCGATGTTTCTAACTCTCTATCTCTCTCCCTTCCTCTCTGTACAAAATCAATAAAATAATTTTTTTTTTAAAGTGAACTAGCTATCGTAAATACATTTCCATCACCTGCAATCGTAAGAACCAGACATGGGGTTATGATAACCCCAGGAAACCACCTTCATAGCTTTGCTCTAAGAAGCCAAGCACCACACTCTTTCCTCATTCTTACATGCAACATAGTACGGTTATCTCTTTCCTAAAATAAAATTGCCACCCAAGGATTTATAATGATAAAATCCCCATATTTAATAAGAGGGAAAAAGAAAAATTTTCTTATTTTAAAACAAATGACAAGTAAGCATTTACAGTGCAAAAGCTCAAAATAAAAATGCCCTAAAACAGATAATATTAATAGGAATTTAATACACAATAAAGATATTACCACACATCAACAGAGAGAAAAATGGCCACAAAAAAATATGGTTATCGCCCTAGCCAGTCTGGCCCAGTGGACAGTGTGCTGGCCCACTGACGGATCCTGGATTGTACTCCAGTCAAGGGCACCTCGGTTGCAGGCTCGATCCGCAGCCCTGGTCAGGGCTTATGCAAGAAGCAACCAATCATTGTGTTTCTTTCACAACAATGTTTCTCTCTGTCTCTCCCTCTTCCTTCTACTCTCTAAAAATCAATGGGAAAGTATCCTCTCATGAGGATCAAAAAAACAAAGAAGTTACCAACGAAAACCACACTTTAAAACACTCCTCTGCATACCACATACACACATATTTAAAAAAAAGCAGATGGAGCCGAAAAAAAAAAAAAAAGAAAAAAAAAAAAAAAAATATATATATATATATATATTTTTTTTTTTTAAGCAGCTGAGGCAAATTATTTGCAATAAAGGAGAGACAAACTGAAGGTTAATGTTCTTAATATATAAAAAAAACTTACAAATTAGTAAGAAAAAAGTTCAAAAAACTGTCCAAGAGCATGAGAATATAAGAACCAGGAAAAATACATTAATTTCATTAATGACAAAGAAATGCACATGTCATTTTTCACTTAAAATGATAAAAAATATAAAATATCCACTGTAGCCAAAAGTGCTGACATTTTCATACATTGCTTGAAAGAATATTCATACGTTGCAAATTGGCAATACATAATATTCCTTAAAAAAGTTATATCCTTTAATAGTTCTGTCAGATGTCAACCTACTAAACAAATAACCAGGGATATAAAAAAAAGTTATAAGAATCTTCAACAGCATTTACCATTAAAAAAATTACAAATGACAAGGTCCAGCCATTGAGGATTAATAAAAATAAGTCACGGCTCATCTATTCAAAGGAATGCTATAAATTAAATGTTTTTTAAATCTATTTAAAAAAATATTAAATGAAATATAAGTAAACTGTACTAAATGCTTCTCCCAGTGACATTATAATGTTAAAAATACAAAATACCGCCTCCTCTGCTCCCAGAATGCACTTCTCTGCTCCAAACCATTCTCCATCATCGCCTCCGAAGCCCTTCGCTGCAGCTCTCATCTACTCCCTGTCCCTGCCCTTTGGTTGCCAGGCCTACGCCACAGTGAACATTTCTCTGCAGGTCAGTCCCAGTGACAGAAGACACTTTTATAAAGTCTTAATCTTCTTAAAGGACTTTTCCCCCCAATACCCAGCATCCTTCTCTGCTACTTCAGCCAGCTCTCAGGATATCCAGCTCTGATCCTCCAACCCTACCTCCATCCCAAAGAGCTTCCCTTCAATCCTGCTATGAATGATTGAATGAGTGATCTAAGAGAATAAACCAATTCTGATCAAGGAAATCAAATTACTAAGTTTACTCCAGACGATATGATAGGATACTTTTATTTTCTTTCCATTATTCTATTCTCGCCGTATTTTCTACAACAGATGCATACATACCATGTATACTTTCATAATAAGGAGAGAATAAATAAACAGAACTATACTTTCTTCAAATTTCAACCCACTCCTAGGTTGAGATTAGAGATACTCTAATCAGTTGTGTGATTTCCACATATTTTGGAAAACATTTAGAACCTACAGTAGATTCAGCCTCAGCAAGTAGCCTCTGACCACAAAACAGCAGGTCTGTTTCCTGGAATTAAAGATTAACACAAAATTATGCCGAGACCGGTTTGGCTCAGTGGATAGAGCGTCGGCCTGCGGACTGAAAGGTCCCAGGTTCGATTCCGGTCAAGGGCATGTACCTCAGTTGTGGGCACATCCCCGGTAGTGGGTGTGCAAGAGGCAGCTAGTCGATGTTTCTCTCTCATCGACGTTTCTAGCTCTATACTCTCTCTTCCTCTCTGTGAAAAATCAATAAAATATATTTTAAAGATTAACACAAAATTAAAACATGTCTCAAAATCTTGTCTACAAATTGCAGATGAATTCATAACAAAACCTGCCCAGAGGGCTCACAATACTATTTTACAAGGTTGCAGTGGTCTTCCTCTTGTCACAAATGGCCAGCTTGATGCATAGCATGTTTAGCGACAAACGCCTCTGCTGCCTCTCCCTGCAACATTTTCATGGCCCGCCAATATATCTGTCCGCAGTTCTCAGGCCTACCAAGGGGGTGGTGCAATTCTTCTTTGATGTAATCCATCCAAAGATCTTTAAAGGGAACCAAAAACTTACCATAAACATTCAATTAGATAAAGGATGAGGCTTTTTTAGGTAAACTTAATTATTTAATATCAATTCACCACAGGATTTCTAAGAAACTTAATTGCTTATTATTTCCATAAACTTATGTGAAACAATACCTCTCTCATCATCTTTACACTAGATATGTCAACACTAATTTTTTAAGTAGAAAACTTCATTTTAATCATAGTAGTCTATATAGTAGTATGTTATTAACTCAAATAGACTAAACATTTTAGAGGCAGAATTTTGTTGAGTCTGTTTCAGAAATTGACCTCAATGAATTCACTATAAGCCTCTTTACCATGCTTAACAAAACCTGTCTGGGTTAGTAAACAAGTTTTTTCATGTACATCCATCAGAAGGTCTGCTGAAACCTCTTAAGAACTAATGCATTTTTTAAAATGTGGGTTTAACAACTAACATGTAGGTATGTCACATAAATTACTTGGCACTCAAAAACTGAGTATGGACTGCAAGTCATATAAATGAGGACAATGTGGCAATAGTCAATGATAACTAATGTCATTTAGCGTGCCACTACTCCTTTACTATAACTCCCATTCCTTCTTGTTCTGACCCACATTATTAACTTTCCCTTACAAATACTACATTTTTTAAAGAGAACCAAACCAAGCAAGCCTTCCTCTATTCCAGAATTAATAGAAGATCAATGGACTCGAGTTTGTGAACTTGGAAATTAAAAGTAAAGTTATATCTGCAAGTACTTCTGCACAAAGTGAGGGAACAGTCAGGGCAAGGATGCAAGTTTTATTCTCAAAGGGGGCCATGACCCAAAAGTTAAGAAACATTGCTTGCTCTAACCACACTGATAAGTTACAAATCACACATGCAAACAGACTTGTGTGTCTGGAGCTGAAGTTTACTTACCAGAATCTACAGATCCAAACTCTCTCAAAGCCCTCTCATAATATTCTCTCAAGTTCGCCATTTTGCAGGATTCCTAACAAAAATAATCAGACAATCTTGCTTCAAAACCTTAATTTATGATGTCACAAATTCATTTCAACCACATTGTTAAGCAGCTACCACATTGGGCTTGATCTGGGGTCAGGG